GGTGCTTGTGCATTGTTACTTATGGTTCGTATTGTGTTTATGCCATGTATTAAGGCTCCTAGCGTTGTCCCTGTTTTTTCTTCCATGATCTCTATTGTTTTTGATTTGATACTTAGGTCTTTGATCCATTTTGAGTTCATTTTTGTGCATTGTGTGGGGTATGGGCCTTGTTTCAGTTTTTTGCAGATGGATATCCAGTTACGCCAGCACCATTTGTTAAAGAGACTGTCTTTTCCCCAGTTAACTGACTTTGGACCTTTGTCAAACATCAGCTGCTCATAGGTGGATGAATTTATGTCTGGATTCTCAATTCCATTCCATTGGTCTATGTATCTGTTGTTGTACCAGTACCACGATGTTTTGACTACCGTGGTGGTATAATAAGTTCTAAAATCAGGTAGTGTGAGGCCTCCCACTTTGTTCTTCTTTTTCAGTAATGCTTTACTTATCTGGGCCCTCTTCCCTTTCCATATGAAGTTGGTGATTTGTTTCTCCATCTCCTTAGAAAATGTCACTGGAATTTGGATCAGGATTGCATTGTATCTTTTGATAGCTTTGGGTAGAATTGACATTTTCACAATGTTGAGTCTTCCTATCCATGAGCAAATTATGTTTTCCACTTATGCAGGTCTCTTTTGTTTTCTTGCAGTAGTGTCTTGTAGTTTTCATTGTATATGTCTTTTATGCCTCTGGTTAGATTTATTCCTAAGTATTTTATCTTCTTGGGGGCTACTGTAAATGGTATTGATTTGGTGATTTCCTCTTGGAAGTTCTCCTTGTTGGTGTAGAGGAATCCAACTGATTTTTGTATGTTTATCTTGTATCCTGATACTTTGCTGAAATCTTCTGTTCCATTAATTTTCTTGTGCATTCTTTGGGGTTTTCTGTGTATAAGATCATATCATCTGCAAACAGAGATACTTTGACTTCTTCCCTACCAATTTGGATACCCTTTAATTCTTTTTCTAGCCTAACTGCTCTGGCTAGGACCTCCAGCACAATGTTGAATAAGAGTGGTGATAAAGGGCATCCTCGTCTGGTTCTCGTTCTCAAGGGGAATGCTTTCAAAGTCTCTCCATTTAGGACAGTGTTGGCTGTTGGCTTTGTATAAATGCCCTTAATTATGCTGACGAATTTCCCTTCTATTCCTATTTTGTTGAGAGTTTTTTTTTTATTTTTTATTTTTATTTTTATTGTTCTTCAGGTGAAGGTTTACAGAACAAATAGTTCCTCATTAAACAGTAGTACACGTATTGTTTTATGACATTGGTTAACAACCCCACGACATGACAATCCTCTCCCTTCTTGACCTTTTTTTTTTTTTTGGTGAAAATATACATAGTCAAAGATATACCATTTCAAAAATTTCTACATGCACAGTTCAGTGACATCGGCTACGCTCTTCCAGTTGTGCTGCTATTCTCACTTTAGATGAAGGTCTACAGAACAAAATAGTTTCCCATTAAACAGTTAGTAC